GGTCAGTCAACATTGCGTGTTTACCTTTACCCTCTCTACCGAAATATATATATATATATTTGTTTCCACAACATTTACAGAAAAGATACTCTACGCACTGCAAATAACGTGGCGCAACGCCGGCTCTACTTTTCGCTTTACCTACGCACGCGTTAACGTGGAGAATGGAATATATCATTGAGCCAAGATAGCAGCTTGAAACGATCAAACTGCGATAGCTCGTTTCGTATTTCCCCAAAAATACCGGCAGTCCAAGTACACAAAGGTACGTGTTGCGACAGATGGTTGAACCATCAAATTAAATATAATGGCGTGCTATTTGGTTAGGGTAGAATCGAACGCAATATCGGGTGCAAAAAACACGTTCCATGCTATGCGGAATTTACATCAATATATATTTATATATAATTATTATGAATAATATAACATATCTGTTTGCGCCGTTTGCATCTGCTCCCAAGAACCTTCCATCCACCATCATTATCCCTATTATCCACTCACTCACTCATTCTATTCACTCATACATATTCTTAGCTTTTATCCTTGCTCTTCTGTATAAATATATATCCCCATAAATATATATTGTGCTAAACTACTGTTAAAATTTGTTGATAATAGAAAATCCCTCATGTACAAAATACGATCTTTAAAAGGAAATAATTTTATTAAAAAAAAATAGATAGGAGGTTTGCGAAGAGAATATTTGTAAGAAAAAGAGAATATCATTAAAGAGAACTAGAAGAATTTTATACATTCTGATCACCGAAAGCCTTTACATTTTTGTGATAAAATCTTCCAAAAAAAAAAACAATGTCTTACTTTGATTACTTCCTACCTTTCACTTTAATTTATTTCCGACCTTACAATATGACTTTTTATATCTTGTAACTGTAAAAAATTTCTATTCGTGTAAGGCCAGTGTTGTTTCAAGAATATGTTAAATACGATGAATCTTATAAGTCACCGGCAACCTTTAAGGCAACAGCTACTGCGTTAACTAATATTTCGTTAAAACCTCTTGTACGATATTGTTTATACTTTTCCAGATAAAGGAAATATTGAACGGCGCAAACAGAAATTGTAAAACAGCATGAGTCAATCACGGAACGTGTTAAAATACAGTAGAAAATATGAAACTTATATTCAACTAAAAGCTCCTTCAAAATTTTAATACGATTCGACGCGAACAATCGATTCAAGGTAACAAGTCTCTGACGACAAAACCAACGACCTTCCCCATCAATGCGAGTACTTCTCAAATCTTTTTTCACCAATTAACTTTCCGTACGCGAGAACATATAAAAAATGTGCGAGTCGTATTCCATTTGACAAACAATCCTGTCATGTCGTAAGAACGATTGATTTCAAACTAATAGAAAACGAATGCCAAGTTTTTTCGAAATCAAGAACTAGCATTGACAGAGAGGCCGCTCCTCTCTCTCCGAAGTTACCTTGCTTCCCGCGTAGGATCACCTTTCTAGGCGACCATGTACGCTTCTCACCTAACGCCTCCTTCGACGATAATAAAAAAAAAAAAGAAAAAAGCGGCAAGAGGAAATCCTTACCGTGTTCGCGTGAAAAACGTTGCCCTTTCCGTTCTTTTTCTGCTACGTATATCGAAATTTGTTACCACTAATCGAAATCCTCAATGATCTCTCCAAAAATATCTCTCCTTTTTCGTTTCATTTTGTTCTAAAAAAAGTTTCTTTCATACTGAAACTACGGCTCGTATCCCGAAAAATTTGTTCAACAAGAAATGGCGAAAGAAGTTTTCGCACCAAAGGGTCCGCCAGTTTAATTTTCTCATTTCTCAATGTCATCATACTATGCGCCCATCTTTATATACGAAGCAGCTTTGCGCTGCATCTGCCACCAGCAGCTGCATAGTTACTACAGCAGATGCATTAGCCGGAGGAAATAACAGCTGCACGTATCTTTTTCTTTCCCTTTCCCTCTTTTTCTACTCAACTTTTTTCCCTCCTGTCCCTTTCTCTTTCCTACTCTCGTATTATACATATTCGAAAATTATCTAACGAGTTGTGCTTTGTCGATCTCAAACAATAGAAGTTATCGTCATATGTCTGTAATTCGTACAGCTTCTAATAAATCTAAATCTTCTAATAAATCGGGATTGTATAAATTCTTAACATCACGACTATATACTCCTGCAGATTGATTGAGCTCCGAAGTAACCTATCATCGTGAGAATCCGAGTACATATTTTACTTCCACGAAACTACGGCAACATAATAAACGTTATACCGCGCAGACAATCGACCTAACATACTTCGACCATTCTAAGAATCAGGTCTATTGCTGTTCTATCTGTTCTATTATTACAATGTTATGCTATATTATACAGAAACGATACGAACTTGCAATTGATACTTTCAGAAAATACGTATTTATTTTATTTATTTTAAGCCTTGTTAAATAATTTATATATGATACTCTATTCACGAAAATATGGTGTACACTTTTGACGTATCTTATTATGTACTAATTCTTAAAACAAAAAAAGTGCACTAAATACACATATATACATATTGGGCGTCGTTCGTAAGAAATGTAAGAGTATTTTTTCCACTCGCTGTATCAAAGGCTTACTCCACAAGTTCTCACGTATACTCTGACCGCAATACAAGCTTAGACAGTCGTGAAAGGTTCGTATTTATCGGAGTAATATGTAATTCCAACCATTATGATGAATATATGAAACTGCACATACGATACGTATTCGCGAATAAGTGGAGTACTAAAAATCTCCTAAGTTATAACAATATGAAATTCAAATTAATCCTTTCACTTAGGATATTAATTATGAGCAATTTATACGAGATTGTGTTTAAATTGATCTTTGCTAGAAGAACCTCGCCAAGTTATCTATGTATATGGAACATAGTTTTTCTGAATATATTGTAAAAGGGAACGTATGTCATACGTAATAATGATTAACATCAAGCCAATACTTTGAAGTTCCAGCATCGTTATCGCCCTACACCACTCGGTTTCGATGTGACCACTTCAGTAGCCATTTCGACCAGTACATGTGCCCCAAAGTTTTAAGATGAATTGTCGCGATATAATAAATTCTTCTTTAATTAGACACTTTGATTAGCTACAAAAATTCTAGTCTAGATGTAATCTTACATCAACTTCGTTTCAACTGAATGAAATTACAAGTCAATTTTTGATCCTAGAACACCATCCACAAGTTACGAGTTTTAACAATGGAGCTTTAAATAAAAAATAGATAGAAAACCGCACAACAAAAATTTAGTATTGTCCCTTGGTATGATAGCATTTAGAACGCTCGATTGGGCAAAGTGTATAGTACTCTTGCGTTTTCTACATACTTTATGAAATCTGCATGATATCTTTGGAATCTTTTTGTCCCTGAACTTTGAATTTTTTTGAAGACGATGCTGCTTCAAATTCATGGAAACCCCTTGTGGTTGATCCGCACAACACGTTTCTTACTACTTAATACAGAAGAGGTTGGTTGACGTCTAACTTGATTGCGTTATACGAATATTCACGTGTGTCCGAACCAAAGATGCAACGATATGAAAAGAGCTGATCTAATCGAACAATAAAACGGTTAAGACCATATATAGTTATATAATGCCCATCTTAAAATATAATATCTTGAAATAATACTTTTATGCAAAGTGCAAAGGATACATTTATATTCTCATACTTAACCGGTACGGAAAAGGTACACCAAATTTAAGACTTTGAAGAGATACTTTGGAGAGACTGCCTATCCGCATCGAATTCCGCGCGTAATTCTATACGATTTTCAATAGATAGATACTTAAAAACGAGAACACACCTAACTTCTCAATATAAATATCACTTTTATTACTTTCTGAACTAGGGCACGCAAACACCTTTATTACGCGGATCTTTTACCTATTGTTATCTCACACATACGCGCGCGCGCGCGCACACACACATACACGCGCACACACGTACCCTTTTCCTAACCTATTCCTTTGATAGTATTATTTTCTCGTATAGAATATACGTAACCACGATAATTTACTAACGAGAAAGTAAGGCACAGTACCGATCATATTAGAGAGGGTATATATACATACATACCTGTATGTATATAAATAGCAACTACTTGTTCGTTACGCGCGCGGTTTGAAAGAAGCGAGGAGTTTCGTATTTCCTTTGGTCGGTGGTCGCGGAGGAGAGTTCCTCCGTACGTTCCAAGTTTTCCTCGCAGAGGAGAGAGAGGTCGTGCAATATCGCGTTGCGAGGCCAACGATAAAGACTAGCCGCAGAATAAAATGAGGGGAACAAGGAAAAGATGTAACGGAAACTGTTATAAACATGAATGTGTGCCAGCATATCTTGCACCACCGACCAAACCATAAGATAGTTCGAAACGACAGAAGATGCAATAGAAGTAAAACGATGGTGGCGAATCCTATGTTAACCTCGTAACGTGGTATCGCGATAAAAATAAAAAAGGTTGAAAAAGATACAAGGAACTTTGAAATTAACAAGGAGCTACATGCCCTGTATAGGAAATGAAAAAGCTCTTTCAGAGACCGTGCTACTCTTGAACGGACCCCGGCTGCTAGGTTGAACCACGTTATTCGACAGTGAAAAAAAATGTAAGTCCTGTCATACCTGCGCAATAGGCACTTTTTGCGATTGAACGCCTAACATAACTCGTATCATTTTTATTCTATAGAAAAATCTATCCAAATCCAAAATATGTTTTTATACGAAACCATTTTCGATTCATGGTTTGTCCAATAATCAACGAAACTGTACAAGCAAATTACGAATAATTCGTAAATACATTGACAAAATATCCATTTACTCATTTGTTCCTACATATGATTTCCATTATATTTTACAAATGCAAAGGTTTAGTTCTCCATCAATATCAACGCGTAAGTAAGAGAAAGTTGCGTCAAACGCGAGTGCCTATTGTTACAGCGGGCAGGATCTAAAAAAAATGATATGGGTGAGCCTACCTTGAGAGTCGCGATGGGCCTGCGCGGCCTCCTGTGCTGCAAGAAAGACTTCATCTGTCGTTCCGGGAGCTCCTGCCACCGAGCCCACAACTCCTCCCGCGTTACTTCGGTCACCGGTAACGTGCCACGCACCTATACCTGCTAACGAAACAAAACAACCGTACTCATAAAATCTTTTTTCATCATGTCAATAGTACACACCAAATACTTTTTATATATAAAACACGAGATGAAATTAAGTACGGAGACAAAAAGGATAACTATATAATCGCTATGGATTGTGCGTTATCACATCGAAAAATCAACAAAATACTAGGAACAAAGGATAACTTTATTATTCTTAGCTTTTTCTCATATTCAAACAAGAACATTGAAAATACTTCTGGAATTATCCGAAGTAGTGAAATACAGGGTATCAGTGATATCAGAAATCTCATACACATCCTCTTATAGAATAAGTACACTCGGCAGTGTCACATATAGTGTAAAGTAGCACAACAAACCCCTAACACTCCCAGTTTCCCTCTATTGTTGCGAGAATGATGTTGCGCAAATAACATTTTACATTCGTATTAACACGTTGGTCGCCACATCACCCATATCTGGGTGACGCTCTTCTTGTTCGGGTTAATTAAATATATAATATTATGTATAGCATATACAACATAAAAATATTAAAAACATATTATACCATATTCTTCGTTAATTTATATTCTTGATAAAATATATTATGCTATGTCGCATGATATTCGTTAAAACATTCCAAACACATTTGGGGCGATTTTGAACACATCGAACAATATGTTGTAGTTTTTTTTACGTTTTTTCTCGCTTCTTGGCGTCCGACAGTTTGCCTCTTCTTCTCGTAACATAGGGCGCACATCCTTCTTATAGGCTTGCCCTGCTGATTTTTACGAATCTCCAAATGGTGGAACACCTTGTTCCATGGTTGTTGTTGATGGTTGTCGGGCACAGTATTTTCTGAGGACACATCGGACCATTCGGAAACGAGAATTTCCCGAAATTTTCTTATCTTTATTTTTTTGTTTGTAGCTGTTTGGTACACAATACGAGCATTTACTATAGTTGTTCCTAAGAGTAAATTTAGTGCTAATTTCCGCTACCACTCGATGCTTTTCCGTACCGTAGTGGCATATAAGACCATCAGGTCACTTCTGTCGATACCAGTTTTTTCATTATTGTACACTATTCTCTTCACTTTCAAATATATTTTCACGTTGTCTACTGAACATTTTGAGGATGAAAAAATCACTGATGTGCGTCTCACAAGAAGTATGCTTCTCGACTAAATGAAAAATCTGGGAAATCTGCCATGAGATCCCTCGGAATACTCTAGCCGGAAAGCTTATCGCTTTCTCCATTTTGGAACTAAATCTTTTCTTTACAATGGATCGAAGGCGATAAGCAATGAATTCGTGTTTACGTTCTGCATACTGACGGTCGGATTTGGGCCCCGCGGGAAACTTAAACAAATTACGCTGGACGACCAACGTGTTAAACTCATTGCGGTCGTTGTGCTCATGCACGCACACTCACACACACACGCACGCACACACGCGTGCATACATACATACGAGAATGTACGACGAATTCTTGATATATCTCAAATACTTCATCCATAATTAACCCCTTAACCCACAACCACGAGCATAGCTCGTAGTACGATGATCGGGTCAAACGTAAATATTATGGGCATAGCCTGTAGTAGGTGATCGAACCAAACGTAAATATTACGGGCATAACATGTAGATGATCGGGCCAAATATAAATAATAGCGGCGGCGCCCTCATAAAGGTATAAATATTTGTGAAATATTTGATAAATAATTACAAACTGATGCAATAATTATGGTAGATACAAATACTACAAAAAGTTTATTTATACAAAAATCAGTAGTACAAAATTAATAATCTGCAATGGTGTGATACACTTCGAAACATTCTAGTATATGTAAGGGAACTTTGCACTTCTTACACTCCCACGTTGTTTCTTTACGTTTTTTATATTTTTGGCAAACTCTACAAGGTTTTGACGGTCTTAATTTTGATGATGTTGGGTCAATGTGTTTTGGAAAATGAGCCCAATGCCTCGCGTGCAGTCTCTCTGGCATGATCTCATCGCAAAATCTTTCTCTTGAAAACATCTTGTAGGGATGCTCCTCTAGAATTTATGAAAATAAATTTCGATGTGCGAATGTGATCAAAAATAACTTGAAACTGATCACGATACGAAGAGATAATAAGAATATATCACGAGCCTTGTCTGTGCTATTTATGGTGGGACAAATTACAAACCGCGACCGTCGTACCACGAGCAATGCCCATAATATTTACGATTGGCCCGACCATCGTACTACACAAGTCGTGCGAATGGCTGGAAGGCTGCGCGAGCTTGTTTACTTTTTCGGTCCAAAATTCTCCAACGTAAATCGTAGATTAAAGGGTTAAACGACTACGACAACACTTAGGACAAAGTAATACTGATCGTTTTTAAGCTATTTCACAGTCTGGCATTTTGTACACTCCTTATCGTACTTCAGTTCCCACAGTAATAGTGATTAATATAAATTTTAATGACTACTCTATAACAAAGATAACACGACTACAAAATGTAATGAACAATTAACGAGATTTCAATATACTGCTTAGATATTATCGGTACCCTTGATATCCTCACAACGAAGCTCAGTTTTTGAAAATTGTTTAAATGTACCGATAAAGAAAAGGAATTACGTCTAAACGTACATACATATGCCATTCTAATATGCATAATATACGACAATAATGAAAGAACTAAGCACGTGATTCTTTCAGTACACGACGATATTTTTAAGAAGGCAGTAATAGAAAATCCAGAGTCAAATAAATGAAATGTAAAGGCCATATTTTCTTATCTCACAAAATTGATTAAATACCAAAGAGACAATAATTTGAAAAAATTAAACATTTTTGTTCACGCGACATGAAGCATCCCATACATTTGTGTTACTTTGAAAAAACCTGCGATATGTGTAAGGACGTTTTCTAACAATAATTCTGCCTGTCTCTCTCTCTCTCGGTCTCTCTGATAATTCCAAGAAATTGCAAGAAAACACGCATTAGTACTACCAATGAAAAACATAAGAAAATAAAAAATCATTTATGGTGGTATATTAGAATAAAAATGAACAGTCTTTATAGAAAAATGAAAGAAAATTGAATAAGTGCCCAAAAATTTGAATACAAGCCCCACACTTATTCAGTCAAGTTATTAAACAGAATAATAAATACGATTCAAGATTTTGCCAAACGAAGAAAAGAACAATGCGAATGAAAGAAGACATCGATGAGACGATACTAATGCAACGATTGAACTTCATTTTTCAATTTTGTTCGGTGAAACTTTCACCAATGTAATTCTGAAGTTCCTTTGATTAAAAGAATAACAAATACGTTAAATAGGTAAATGTAAATTAAAGTATATCGTATTTGACCTTATTTTAACACGTTGACGCCGACGTGCACCATCGGCGGGTCACACGTATCTGTCCCGTGGGGCGGCGTGCATCGCGATGAGTCACACATGTATTTCACAAAATATATAATACAAAATAGGTTTATATTATTTTATCTCAACATTATAAGCAGTATACAATAGTAAAAACATAACAATTCAATATTATAAACTTAACATAATCATTTCCTTCTTTCATGCAATTTTTTAAAACATGTTAGACAGAGTGTCGGCTGGCCCTTACAAAGATCACAATATGTTGTTACTTTTTTGGCTCTTTTCGCGGCATACGCACTACCTTTTATTTTAGAAATGCGTTTATAACATTGTTTACACCGCCGTCTCGTTTTGCTCGCGGGCCCATGGTACGACTGCAGAAAATGTAACTGTTTTTTGGACAGTACTTCATTTTCACTTGGCATTTCTTCTCTGTTGAGATTCACTGTACCTAAAAGGTGATCAATAATTTCTTCGCGAAATTTTAAGATTTTAATACTTTTAGTGCCCCATTTTCTATGTACACACCACGCATTTACGAGACAAGCCCAGCATATTAATTCTATTACAATTTTTTTATACTATTTTATGGTTCTGTGCAAACAACTATAATAGGATGGCATCTGATCGAATAGATCAACCCCCTTTTTAGCATCATTATAAAAAAAGTGGCTGGTTTTAATTTACTATTTTTCCCCTGAACAATAACGCACCTGTGATTTTTGGAAGTAGCTACCACACATACTGGCCTTTTGTCAGTCCATTTTAAACATTTAACGTAACCTAACACTATTTTCGTCGTGCATGTTCCTTACGCGCGCCGTTGTTCTCCAACGAACATGCATGACTATTCCTTTTTCCTGTGCAGAATTGAAAAATTTTTTGATTCGCGCTATGAACGTTTCTTATAGAAAAATGTTCACAGAATTGCGTGCGATGGTCAGAATTCGCGTCAGACCTCTACTCTTTCAGAAAAATTGAAAGGAGTACAAAATTAGGGTCAAAGCTGGTCTCGTCAGCCTTACTTAACACGTTGACGCCGGCGCGATCCATCGATCGGCGGGTCGCGCGTGTCTGTTCCGTGAGACGGCGTGCCCCATTGGCAGGTCACACGTGTCTGTCCAGAGGGGGCGGCGATGGGTCACACATGTATTTCACAAAATAGATAGTGACCCAGCGCTGTCCCACGAAGCAGACAGTGAATTCGAGCGCCGCCCCACGAAGCAGACATTGAATTCTGAATGAATGAAAACCATGAATATCGGCGCGGGCGTCAATGTGTTAACATTTATAGATATATGCAAACAGATATTGCCAAACTATCGTATATCAGTGCATTAGTTGAAGTCCACGGAATCGTATAGCTTTTGTAATTTTGCTATAAATTGAGGTCAAAGTTGAAAAATTGCAGTCGTGTCTAATGCGATCCTGCGCCGCCCAACGAAGCAAACCGTGCATTCGGGCTCCGGCTCACAGAGAAAACAATGCATATCGGCGATGGCGTCAACGTGTTAATCAAAATAATTTCAAAAATGCGATAGAAGTTTAATTGAAAAGAAGTCAAAAAATAAAAATGTGTTACCATTGAATTAGTAATTGCCTCATTGACATTTACAATCGGATCAAAGGTTACGCCACTCCACTATCGAGCTTCGCAGTATATCGAAGGGAACCCTCCCCCGAATGGTAAGGATGACTAGCGAGCACTTGTTGTAGTTCGTTTCGGGCACTTATCCAATTTTTAATATAATGTGTGTGTATGTGTTTATATGTGTATATATAATCTAAAATAAATATATATATATATATATATGTGTGTGTTTATAATCAGACACGGAAATGAAAATACAAGAAAACAGAGCAGAATAGAATCGAACGGTTCACTGTCGATCAATGGCATATTATTATTCACTGACAAATCTCGATGCTATCGGACATTATATAAACTACACACGTAAAAGCATACACCACACTAAGGCTGTCTAGGCTGGATCAGGTTACTAGGTTGTTGTCTCCATCTCCTTCTGACGACGTTCAACTTTTTCAAATAGAATTGCAGGGTTGAACGATTAATGCCGTACATCTCTGATGCCTGAGTGGTGCTAACTCCCTGTTGTAATATTGCATCCAGGGACATTTTAACCGAGTCTAAACTATACTTTCTGCCCTGTTTTTTTTCCAGCGATTTAAGCAACGCGCCTACGTCAACATCTGTGCGCGGCCGCCTCATATTCGGCCCTTTTTTACATTCGAGGAAATGAGACGCCCAGAGGGCACCGCCATCACCACCCATCAAATTCCCTCTCGACCGAGACCGCGCTCCCGCCCCCCCACCTGCAACGAGGAAACCCAAGCTAGTGTCGGCCGATCATTACACGACCCGTTTAACATTTAACAAACAAAAAACGAAACGTTCGCATAACTGAATTTCAAGTCATTAATGAACGAGTCCCTTCCTCTAATTTAATTTTACATTTTAAATTCTTAAACCCATGTTAGTGTGATACATTTACATATATATATGTCGGAATGGCGTTGAGGATAGGGTTGTCGGTGTTTGATGAGTCTTCATTGAAAGTAGCCATCGTTGCGGTGTGACGAAGATACGATTTATTGACAGAAGTATGGATAACACAGGTTCGACAATCTACCACGGCGGTTAGACGTCCGCGACACTAGTGACAATGGCTCAGGTTCGATAACGAATCCGCGGTCGACGGGATGATAGATGAACGTACTCACAAAATCTAAGTCGGACGCGTAATATTCACTGGTCGTAAAGAGTTACTCCTTTCATCAATGAGATCGCGAGCGAGAATGTCTTTCCCGTCCCGATGATGCCACAGAGGAAAACTATAAGGGGTGTGTCTAAGGACACGAGATCATCGGATTCGTCGAGAAAAGCCTTCGTTCAGAAGTCGAGGGAGAGTTGCTAGTGGGAGACGCCGCTCGTTGAAAATGGATCTCCCTTATTTTCCCGTAGTTGGGACAAAGACTGTTTGTCTATTTGAAGGACTTTAGCTAGCTAAATCTTAAGATTTATAACGGGCCCTCGGGCTAGCTGAACGTGTACTGCGGAGACGCATCGACATCTGGCAATCATCTTACTCGAAGAATAGGGTCTACGTATGACGAGCTACGGGACAGAGACCGTTGGAATGTTTACTGTCGAGTGTTACAACTATTTCCTTTTTAAGGAGAACTATAAAATTACTCCATGCCTTTGTTAGACAAGGTGTTCATCCCTTGATCGCGGCTACGTTGGGCGACAGACTGTCGCCTCGAGCCAAAGCTCACCGTCACTAATCTCGAACAATTACAATTGGATTGAATAACTACAATAGTTTAGTTACAGTTATAGTAGACTTTAGATTGCAATGTTGCGTGGCTATCCGAAGGTTCCGGTGTCCTTTCATCTCCGACATATATATATATATATATATATAAATAAATCCTATCCTTTTATCAAGCTTATTTCACTCAGATGGAGAGAGCAGCTATGCTTCGATTCAAAGTTTCTTTGAGTCGAAGTTTTGCTGCTGGACTACATACATGCATAACGTCTGCACAACATGGTATCATTTCTCGCATAATTTCGTATGGGGAACTCGCCGTACGTGAAACTATGTAAGTATATATCTGGACAACAAACGAGAATTCGAAACGTATGCGCACAAAATTTGAAATCGACTCGCATATCGCGTAAATTCGTCAAAATACCCTGTATTTCGCTACTACGTTATAACGAAAGAAGAATAAATAAAATATAAAAATAATACGATTGTTCAACTTACCAGGATGCTGGGAGGGGTCGTGGGATGGGCCGGCTCTATTGTTATCTTGTTCCATCTCGTTCAAATCATTCATGTCGTCATCCAGCGTCAGATCTTCGACGCTTTCTTCTGGATCTTCGAGATATTCAGACTTTGGTTCAATGAGATTATCACTTGGTTCGGGCTTTTCTAGCGGCAACTAAGGGAAAAAATCATTTTATAAGAAACAGTATTTCTCTTTGTATCATTTATCTATTTAAGTATTGTCAAAATATATAAAACATTATGTGAATTATTAGAATCATGTATCGCACCGTTTCCACTCTATAAGATCAAGTAGATATGACATCAAATAGTAGGATTAAGTACGATATCATTTGCTCTACCAACAAGCGAAAGAAACAGTATCAGTAGACAACAGCTTCCATTAGGCGTTGGTGAACAATTAATATACGATCTCATACGGTAAAAATTCAACGTCGAATTTCACAAGGCTCACCTGTAACATTTCATCGGCAGGTTTCGTCAGCTG